AAACAATAAAACATTAAAGGATAGAGAAATGTATACAATACCAACACTAACCAAAAGTAAACCAGAGTAGCTATATTAATCTCAGAAATAAGAGACCTCAGAACAAGGAAAATTATCAGGGATAATGAGGGGCACTATGTTATGACAAAGAGATTCAATCTTCAAGAAGACATAACAATCCTGAACATGTGTGTATCTACTAACAAAGCATCAAAATATATGAAGCAGCAATTGGTAGAACTGAAAGAAATAATAAACAAACAACTATTGTACTTAGAGACTTCAATACTCCTCTAAGTAATTGAAAGTTCAAAGCAGCATAAAATCTTAAGGATATCGTTTACCTGAAAAGCATTATCAGTTGACTTGACCCAATTGATATTTACAGAAGCCTCCACCATTGACAGTGGAAACATCTTCTCAAGATAACATGGCACTTGCTAATGTAGAACAAATTCTTGGTCATAGAACATACCTTCACAAATTTAACATAATAGAAATTATGCAGAATAACTTCCCAGGCCACAGTGGAATTAAGTTAGAAATCAAAAATAGAAAAATAACTGGAAAATCCTAAATATCTGGAAGTTAAACAACACACCTTAAAATAAAACATGAGTTAAAGAAGTGTCACAAAAGAAACTTTAAATATTTTGAAATGAATGAAAAGAAAATCATAACATCAAAATGTGCTGGATGCAGTTAAATCAGTGCTTAGAAGAAAAATTGTATAGCATTATATAATAAATAAAGTAATATTAAATGTGTGTACTAGCTAAGAAGATATAAAATTGCTGACCTAACTTTCTACTTTAAGAAAAATTAACAACTGAGAGCTAAGGGAAGAAAGAACAAACATTGGTACAGATTAGTGTAACTTAAGAAGAAGAGAATAAAGAATACCAGGAAAACCAAAAGCTGGTTCTTTGAAAAAATAAACAAGTTGATAAACTTACAGCCATTCTAACAAGGACAAAAAGGGAGGAGACAAATTACCGTTATCAGAAATGAAAACAGGGGTCATCATTACTGATTCTGTGGATACTACAAGGATAATGAACAGATAACAAAGAGCTCTATGTCCATGAATTTATCAACAGATAAAATGGACCAACTCCCAAAAGACACCAATTACGAGAATTCATACCAAAAAATAAATAATTTTTTTTTCATACAAAAAAAAAATTAATGAGATGGCCTATCTCTATTAAATAAATGGAATCAATAATTTATAACTCTAAAAAAGAAAGCCCTGGAGTCAGATGCTTTCAGTGGTGAGTTCCATTAAACATTAAAGGAACAAATGATACTAATTCTATATGTCTTCTACAAAATAAAAGCAAAGGGAATACTTTCCAAAACAGTCTATGAAGACAGAATTATCCTAATAGCTATAAAGTAAAGGGTTAACTAAGCAGACCAAGATGACTCAAACCCCTGCACATTCCCAAGAAAGGCTTTTCTTCAGCTACTGGGAGATACCTCTGAAACTTGCAATGTTGCATCTAATAATAGTGGTCTTGTATACTTAAATTCTTGGACCACATTGTATCAGTTTGATTAGGTGATTCATGCTAACAATATGACTTATGGTGAATGCCTGTTTGTATGTTTGAAGTCATGAGCCATGCTGTATCTGGGAACTGGAGACTAAATTCAGTTATGCAGGAGCTTCACACATACTTGACTCACCTACCAAAAAATTCCCTGGACATCAAGGCTCAGGTGAGCTTCTCTGGTTGACAGTATTTCAAATGTGTCATCACACATCATTGCTTGAAAAATTAAGCATCACACTGTGTGATTACACTGGGTGGGGACATCTGGAAGCTTGGAACAGGTTTCTCCTGGCCTTCACCCATGCACCTTTTTCCCTTTGTTAATTTAATCTTCATTGTTTTATTTTAGAGACTGGGAAGCCCAAGATAAAGATTCTGGTCTGTGGAGGTCCTGGTGATAGAAGCCTTCTCACTGTGTCCTCATAAGGCCTATCATTGGGGCATGCACATAGAAAGAAAGAGAGAGAAATAGCAAGATATCTCACTCTTTTTTAAGACCACCAACTTTGTTAGATGAGAGCTTATCCTTATGAGTCCATTTAACCTTAATTAACTTCTAAAGTACCTATCTCCAGATGGGTGGGAAGGGAGGGATAAGGGCAGGGAAAAAGAAAGGGGGCATTACGATTAGCATGTGTGGCAGGGGGGAGGACACGGGGAGGGCTGTGCAACACAGAGAAGACCAGTAGGGATTCTGCAGCATCTTACTATGCTGATGGACAGTGACTGTAATGGGGTCTGTGGAGGGGACTTGGTGAAGGGGAGAGCCTAGTAAACATAATGTTCTTCATGTAATTGTAGATTACTGATACCAAAATAAAAAAAAAATCCTATTGGGAGTTAAAGCTTCAACATAGGAATATTGGGGAACACAGTACACCTAATAGCAAGCACTCCACCCTGCCCAATTCAAGTCCTTGTCACATGTAAAATATATTTATTCTACTACAACAACCCAAAAGCTTTAACTCATTTCAGCATCAGCAGAAAAGCCTAACATCCAAAGTCTCACTGAAATATCCAAAGTCAGATATGGGTGACATGAGGTAAAACTCACCCCAAGGCAAAATTCCTCTCCAGTGTGAACCTATGAAAGTATACAAGTATATGTGTTTCGAAAACACAACTGTGGGACACACCTTCACATTTAAAAGAGAGAAGTAGGAAACAAGGAAGGGTTGAAGTTACAGAGCAATGCAGAACCTAGCAAGACAAATTCCATTAGAGCTTGAGAACTGAGAATAATCCTCTGTCAAATACTCCTCAGTGTGATTTTCTTTTGTTGTAGTTTGTTCAACATAATATAAAAAGCAAAACACAACTCTGAAATCCTTAGGTGCTGATTCTAAGTAAGGTGATAATATTTAGTTTATATACTAATACCAGTACTACTACTAATTTTATGTTAACCTAATATAAGGTGAGGTTTACATATTTTGGTTATTTGACAAATATAATTAATATACTAAAAAATAACAAGAAATTTCGTGGCATAGGAAAAAAATGTTTAGGTCCTGATGTATCTAGTTCCAGTGTCAGACAGAAGTGGGTTAAAATCCACCTCTACCACCTAGTGCCTGTGATGCTATAGGTACAGTTGTTAGCATTTGAGACCAATCTAGAATCTAAGTATCTCTGCCAAGGGCTTAGGTCAGTACTGCCTGAGGGGTGAGGGGCATAGCACTTGCAGACCAGAGATGTCATACGTATCGACCTCAAAGGCTGGTAGTGAGGAATGAATAAATAACTCATGTAGAATGCTTTGTATATTAATAATGTTACCACAAACAAGCTTTCTACAGTGATTAAATTAGGTCAAAAATGATGGAAGCTCACATTGTATATTGCAGACCTGCTGTCTTACCTTCTATATCTAAATGCCAAGAAGTCACTTCTAAAAATGTTGTTTTCAAAGTAGCCACACGGTGGCAGACTTTAACCAAAAAGGCACAATGTTTCTAGAAAACATCTGTAACACCAGGTTAACAATTTTTTTTTTATTCCACTCTATCTGTGCTACTCCGACTCCAGATTCAGAGAGTAATGGGGAGCAGCAGTGAAGGACTGAAAATGTCCTCTTGAGTAGCAGAATTGTAATCAGAGGTGAGAGATGTCCACACCTGCCTTTTTCTCAGAAATCCTTCGAGACTACATGTTAAGGGCCTCCAGCGGCAGCTCTCTGTGAGGGTGCTCTCTTCCAGTGCTCAATTACTACTCCCCACCCCACTATGCCACCTAATGTTCTTGCTCTCTGCTGAGGCCACCTTCCCCGTCAAGAATAATTCCTAGGAATGCATCTTATTCTAGCGTGATTGCTTTCACCCGGATGCCCACTTGGGACTCATGGAGAGTGTGTCTCTGGCTCTCTGTTGGTGAAAGTACAGCTAACCCGAGAGCTCTTCCAAAACACTCTAGAAACAACCTTATCACATGTAAAATATATTAATACAGAACACCCATGTCTCACACCTCTGTGCCTGGGCCCAACCTGGGCTCCTCTGTCTGCCACACCAGGGCTGGCAGAGTGCAGGCTGCATGCAATGGCCGCTGCTGGGCCATGCCCAGTCCCAGGATTCTGCATGGTATCAATACTGGCTGTTTTCTCTTCTCGCCGTAGCACCGCTGGTTTCACATGATTGCACTTTTGTGGGTCACAAGTTGATACAAATGTGTATTACTTGGTCACTGGATGCAGAAGTTCCCATTCATCACACCTGCCTCATCACCCTACCCTGCTGTACTGAGAGGATTAGTTGTGTTTAGGACATTGCATATCTTCTAGAAGTTCTCCCCCAAATCAGGTTGACATATGCCCTCCTCCCAAGCTCCCCCCAGGCATCTTCAATAGTCATGATCGTGTGTCCCCCAACTCCACCCCCTACAGTGTGGGCCTGTTGCTGTCAAAGAGTCAGGAAGGTCACTGAATTAGGGAGCATTTTCTGCACCTTCTGATTTTGCTTTAACAGTTATTATTCCATAGACTTGCCTCCAGAGCACCAAAGTGCCCTTCTGAGCCCAGATGCAGGAGCCTCTGGGGCCTGGGCACACACAGGGCTGTGCCTCTGTGCTGTCTCCTCCTCCTCACGTACTGCCTCAGACTCTGGGTAGGGGGCGGTGGCTACTTCTCACCAGCTTTCTGATCCCTCAGCTAAATGACATCTTGGGGAGAGTTTTTGTTTTGTCTCCTGAGGGCCTATCCAGTTGGGTTATGAAGAGTTGGGTGGCCTGATTCCAGGGGCTGGCCGGTACCAGCTCCTGCAGGCTAGCCTGACCGGAAGTGGTTGTCCCTGTGCATCCTCTGATTACTCTCATGCTCCATTTACTGTTTACATTTGTTTTATTGTACATAGGTTTGTAAACATTACTGCTTAAGACATTTGTATATAACTTGGGCTTTGTAGCTTTTATTTATTCAGAATTTATATGGCATGTTAATGACTTATGATGCTAAAGGATGAAGCGAGAGATTTAAGACAAGAACCAGCAGCTCGGGAAAGACAACAGGAAGTAACAAGAAACTCAACTCTAGACCGTGAAAAGATGGATTCTGCTGCCCAAGCGTTACTTTCTTTGCCAGCCACTCCTGTTGGAAAAGCTTCACCAAAATCTATGCCAAACGGCTTTGGTATCAGTCCACTAACTCCTTCTGCCAGGATATCATCACTAAACATGGTAGATATTTTACAGAAAGTAGGGGCTTTAGAATCAAAATTAGCAGCTTGTAGGAACTTTGCAGAGGACCAAGCATCACGGAAATTCAGGGAATTTCAGGGAATGTTAACTAGGGTGATAAACTGCAATGGCACAAAGCTCTCTCGATCAGGGCATACGTCTTTCTTTGCTAAAGGGGCAGTGAACGTCTTTGACCCAGCTCCTCCTCCTTGACTGGGCCCCTTGCACCTGCTGTCAGCCCCGGGGGTGCTGCCTCTCAGTGCGTGAGCAACCAGCCTCCAGGTGGGTGCTCCTGCTGTCCCAACAATCCATACAGAATGGGTCAGTTCTGTAAAGCTGCTTATCACACCATATAGCATTTCATCTTTCTGTGTCTTGTCTACTTTTTTCTTTTCCATCATCTTCACCTGTCTGGGCTTATACCACCCAAATAAAGGTGCTTTATCTAAACTCTTTATCTAAAACTCAGGGTCTACTTTCTAAAGGACCTAGGCCAAGATAACTGAAAAGTCCCTTTCCCAATGCCTAAAATATGTATTCAGCACTTACTGCTCATTTTCTCTTCTATGATCTCATATATACTGTTATTTCCCTTTTCTTTTTCTGTGTAATTTATTGTTTCCACATTAAAAGTTTTGACGGGAAGTATTTTTCTTTTTTTTTAACCATATGGTGGTCTATATAGCTGCCCAGGGTATGTATCTCTAAACAGAGACCAACAAAGATGCCTGTTCCTCAAGTTCACTTTCTAAAAATGCATTTCTTTCAATGACCTGATTTAGCTTTTGTTCAAACTCTTCCAGTGAGGCTTCTGTTGCCCTTTGTGCACACTCCAGGTCATCATTGGCTTGCTCCAGCTCTCTCACGTACTTATGCAACCGCTTCTTAATGGCCCGAGCCTGACTTAAACCATCTTCTGGTCCTGTGACCTGCTTGTAGCTCTGTGCGTACTGATGTTCTAGCTTCTCCTTTAATGTCTCCACTTCATATTTCAGTCTTTGGTTATCAGCTTGCAAGTCTCTCTTACTTTGTTCAGCCAGTACTAACTGTGCCTCCAACTCTGCTTCTAATTCTCTGCTTCTTTCCTGGAATTCAACTAACTCATCCAGAGTTTCCTGTAAGCTTTATTTATATTTGAAGGGAAGTTCCTTCCAGTAAGCGGTTTCCTCCTCTAAACTAGAAAAATATGGTATGTCTTCACAATTCATGATCAAGAAAACCTCCAGTGTGTCAAAAGCGCATGTTTGCCACCGGTTAGCAGAAGTCTCTGCTCCACTGTCCTGGCCAGGGCCGCACAGCCGCACAGCAACTGCTCCCCTCCACAGTCCCAAGCTCTGAGCTCCCCTCCAGGCATCTCAGGGTCTGGCTCCTCCCCAACGCCTCAGGGGTTGCCTGGATATTCTATGACAGCGCAGGGCCTTAGCATGCGCAGGAGCGGGTGGGTGGCCAGGGCGGGGCTGTGGTGAGGAGGGCTTGCAGGGGGCTGGGTCAGGCCTGGTGCGCTAAAGTCAGGCTGGCAGTGGCCTAGTGCGCAGGCGCTCCCAAGCACCGTGATGGGCCAGTTTGGGCCTTGAAGGTTTCCCTGCACACTTTGCCATTCGGGAATGTGGCGCCACTGTGGATAAAAGTTGGCTTTCCGGTTCCTTCAAGTGTCTGTGTTTCAGTGTTCTTGTTCACATAAGATGAATCTCATGTCAGATCTCACTTCTGAGTCCATCCCCAACCTCTACATAGAGTATAAGGGGTGTTCAAGTGTCCCCATCACTTTCTCACAAAGATCTGTGTGGTTTATGGCACATCCACTAGCTGATCTTTTTTTTTCTTCTGCATGTTATTTATTTATAATTTTTTAAATTAAGGTAGTATTGATATATACTCTTATGAAGGTTTCACATGAAAAACAATGTGGTTACTTCATTCACCCATGTTATCCAGTCTCCCTCATACCCCACTGCAGTCACTGTCCATCAGTTTAGTAAGATGCCACAGAGTCACTACTTGTCTTCTCTGTGTTACTCTGTCTTCCCATGATCACCCCCACACAGTGTGTACTAATCATACTCCCTCTCAATACCCTTCTCCCTCCCTCCCCACAGGCCCTTCCCACCCCTCCCCTTTGGTAACCGCTAGTCCCTTCTTGGAGTTTGTGAGTCTGCTGCTGTTTTGTTCCTTCAGTTTTGCTTTGTTGTTATACATCACAAATGAGGGAAGTCATATGGTACTTGTCTTTCTCTGCCTGGCTTATTTCACTGAGCATAATACCCTGGAGCTCCATTCATATTGTTGCAAATGGTAGGATCTGTTTCTTTCTTATGGCCGAGCAGTACTCCATTGTGTATGTACCACCTCTTTTTTATCTATTCATCTACTGATGGACACTTATGTTGCTTCCATATCTTGGCTATTGTAAATAGTCCTACAGTAAACATAGGGGTACATATCTCTTTTTGAATCTGAGAACTTGTATTGGAATGGAATTCCTGTGCCAAATGGTATTCCTATTTTTAGTTGATGAGGAACCTCCATATTGCTTTCCACAATGGCTGAACTAGCTCACATTCCCACCAGCAGTGTAGGAGCGTTCCCCTTTCTCTGCATCCTCACCAGCCTTTGTTGTTCTTAGTCTTTCTGATGCTGGCCATCCTTACTGATGTGAGGTGATGTCTCATTGTGGTTTTAATTTGCATTTCTCTGATAATTAGTCTTCTTCATGGGAGGAGTTCATACTATGTTCTTTTCATTTAGTATATTGTCATGTAACATAATGCTTAAGAAAGAACCTCATCATATATGTTTAATAAGACATTTAAATAATGCACACTTTTTATAGCCAACAATTTTTACCAATTTCACTTGTATTTTATATTAGAAAAAGAAATTTTCTATAAAATTTCCATTTCACCAAAAAGGATGTATTTCTCTTTGTTTATAGACTCACAAGGTTTTTAAGCTTCATATATTTTAAAGATCTTTAAAGGCAAATGAAGATCTTTATTTTAACCACAGTTTGTTATTCTCTAATTCTTACTTGCCTTAAGGCCCCAAAATGAACCAGCAGAAATTTTCCAAAATAACATTTAGCAAGTAATGATAGCAAGCCAGGAATAGAGGGCATAGGGTTTGTCTGTAATAAAATAGACAAATGAGGTTCTTAAGAAGACAAATAAAAAGATAAGCATGCCAAAGAAGAAAATTGCTCAATTACAGGCCCCTTTAATTTATGGCCCTCTCTGTTACTGTTTTTACATCTCTGTAGGCTGAATTTGTAGCTTCTGAAAACTTGCAAAAGGCAAGAAAGTGGCTTTTGTAAAACTTTCAGATGTTAAAACCTATCATGAATACACCTTATTATGTGTTATGTTGACATAGTTTGTGGATTAGTATCTAGAAATGTCAATTCTCTTAAACTGGATAATTGAGCATTAGCAATGGGAGGGACCTTAGAAATAACCTGCTCCGGTCCCACATCTGAGGGACCCAAGGCAGAGAAAAGAAGTAATGCACTAACACCATACAGCTAGGAAATGGGAGAACCAGCTTTAGAATTCACAGATCCTCAATCTTTGTACAGTGCCCTGTAAAGCAACTCATTATTTCTTAGCTGCTTAATTAAAATTAAATGAATGTGATGAGCTCTATTATCATAATATTGTGTCACCCACTGTAGGACAATGTGTATCTTTAAAAATCATGCAATACAAACTTACAGTTGGTGATGTCAAATTTAGAAGTGAGATCTAGAAAATGTAAACAAAGACACTCCTTTGAGGTTGTTTACAGAAATAAGGAGATCATGGATATTGTATTATACTGATAAAGATTTGTTTCTAATTCTAATATTAAAAATGTACTTTGTAAGGTAAGACCATCACAATGTAGAATACACTTAGACATTAATTTACAATTTAGTGTCATACAATGAAATTGGTGAACATGTTGTGCATATTAGTGTCTTATAAAATTAATCAATAATTATTTAATAAATATTGACTTTAAAGTAGTAAGCTTCAAATGACATAGATGAATTTGTGAAAAAATTGTAAAAAGTATAGAGGGAATTGATTGATTCTACTTATAAAACTCTTATCAATATAATAAAAGTGCATCAGAGGCTTAGAGAGAATTCTGATTTCTTGGAATAGGAAATGAGGAAAATTAGATTAAAAGAATGAATAGAGACCAATATTCATAGAAAAGCCATTATTTGAAACTGGAATGATGATATTTCAGTTGATGACTTCCCAACAGTCTCTTTTTTTTAAATGAATGAACTTTATAGAGCAGTTTTACATTTACAGAAAAATTGAGATGAAAAGTACAGAGGGATACAATATCCCCCCATCTCTATGCAAGCACCTCTATTATCAACATCCCATACCAGTGTTGCATTTGCTACAATTGATAAACATACATGATAAATCCTAATCATTTAAAGTCTGTAGTTTAAGTTAGGGTTCACTATTGCTGGTGCATATTATATGGATTTAGGCAAACATATAATGACATGTATCCACCATTATAGTACCATACACTGTAGTTCCACTGTCCTAGAAATCCTTGGTGCTCTGCCTATTCCTCCTTCTCTTCCCTCTAACCTCTGGTAACCAGAGATTTTTTAAGTCTATATTGTTTTGTCTTTTCCAGAATGTCATATAGTTGGAAGCATACATTATATAGCTTTCTTAGATTGGCTTCTTTCAGTTACTAATATGCATTTAAGTTTCCTCCATCTCTTTTCATGGCTTGAAAGCTCACTTCTTTTTGGTGCTAAATAACATATTGTCTTGATATCACACATTTATTTATCTATTTACTACTGAATTACATCTTGGTTGCTTTCAAGTTTTAGCAATTATGAATAAAGTTATTGTAAATGTATATACAGGTTTTTGTGTGGGCATAGTTTTCAGTTCTTTGTGTATATAGCTAGGAGTGTGATTGCTGGATCATATGGTGAGAGTACATTTAGTTTTATAAGAAATTTCCAGTCTTTCAAAGTGGCTGTACATTTTGCATTCCTACCAAGAGTGAATGAGAATTCCTTTGCTCTATATCCGCACCAGCATTTAGTTGTCAATATTCTGGGTATTAGTCATTCTAATAGGTGTTCTGTCAACATTGAGTTGGATGTTTTGGGTCTGCAGCCTCTCTTCATAAACTTTAGAATCAGTATTGAATCTTCCCATTCATGAACATTTTCTCTCCATTTATTT